GATGTATAACTTTCTGTCGTGTCTCATTTTACATATCGCGAATTCACCAAGCTAACGCGATTTTCCTTTATTTTCTATGATAATAATAAATATAGCAGCTATCATATAAATTGGTTAATGATTGACAGCCGTGGTGCAGACCGTGTTAACGGTTGACTTATATACCATGTACAGTGTATATCATTTTAAGTGACATCTCACACAAATGTTAATATTATTTAGTGAACACTCGAACATTTAAATATATTAAATTTCTCAACTTTAACAATGACCAGAATATAAACGAATACTGTATTTAAAAAAAAAAAATATTTCAAACAGTGGTTGCAATCCAGTGTGACTAATTCGATAAACTATAGTGCATTTCAAAATGATAATCCATGTCTTCGATAATGAGATATTTTTATGGTATGTGGCTAGCTGAGTGACTCGTCTTTCGGCTCTAGCTTTGAAGTAGACTGTGCTACTATGTAATTAACAAACTTTTAAATTTGCCCCATTGTATTTTAGGCAAAATACGGATGTGCTGTAGGATTAAATATGATAAGTTGGTATTTTGACCACAATTTGCACATTGTGCAATTAAATGATTATGACTAAAGCTGTATGTCCCTAAAAACCAAATTACAATAACTAACTGTATATAAATCGTAGATTTACGTTTAAGAATGAATGAATATTTTGAGATACACATATTTGAATGGACGGGCGACGATTATGCCGATCGTAATTTAATATACAGGAGATAGATATTTTTTTTTCAGAATTGATTTTGAACTTCATGCATATTCAATGGACGTGAACATACGTAAGAAGTGCATAAACTACGATGTCGTAAAATACAATATGTAATTATCGTGAAAGATGACACGCAGGCCGTTTGATCTGTAATACATTGATTATTATAGGAAACAATCTCAAAAATAAATTAAAGCGAATATTTTAATATTTTCAAGTGTAACTACAGTGATTTTTTGAATTGATTTATATGAAAGCAGAGTTTCAATAATACTTAATGTAAATGTCCCAAATTGCGGAACCAAACCTTGTGAATTAAAAAATATAATCTTTCTTGAAAGAAGATGTGGCCATACATACTGCTTGTGTGACGGCCGGACACTGGTTGGTCAACATTGAAAGTTACAGAATTAGAATGTTTAAAACCCATACGTACTATGTCGCAATACTGATGGATAAATAGCACATGTATTCTACTATTTAAAAAACTTGATATTTCGAATGTCGTACAACCAGAGAATGATATAATGCACCAATTTCTTTGGTTTGAAAGATTTTTTTTTTGGGGGGGGGGGTGACATTCACAAGAAAATAAAGCAGTCACCTGACTTCGACTGCCATCCTGGATTATGTTATGTGAATATAAAAAACGATAAAAAAGAACCACAATTTTATTCAAATCCTCAGATTTCAGTGGGTTCACGCAAAGTAAATATATTCTCTCTGGTGAGCGTGTTGCAATTTTGATATCGTATCTTACACGTATACGACTCGTTGCCTCTCGTCCATTTTGTTCTAAGCATGCTGTGTTTCTGAAGAGGACAGTTATATATATATATATTGTCAGCCTTTATCAGGAAAGGGCAATAATTCAACTTGTACCCCACCAGTAACATTAACTCTTACGCTACCGCTTCTAAATTTAATTGTATATGCCACTAAGAACACTTATAGTTATTAGGGAACATTAGTAATAGATTTTTTTTCTGAACACTGTTTGCAAGTAAAAGATTTTTTCTTTGTTCAAAACTTACCACATTTATTAGTAAGTTGACTATTTCGAACAAGTCTGTTCTTCCATGATCGGAGCAAAAATGTTTCAGCATCAAGATCCTGTGTTCCATGAGATGTGTTAATCCATGATAATTCCCGGTAATTAGGTAAGCATATGATTTACGATCAAATAAAACATGTTTACTATGTTTACTATGATACGTGGCAGGTGTCAGGTGATAATACAGGTCATTGCGAATGTCAATAATCCACCGTTTATAAAAAAAGTAGTTTAGAAACACATCCTGCGACAGCACACTACCCTTGTCTGTGCTTCAGCATTGGATTAGTCAACTAGACTAACATTTTAACGTTACCATCGATAAATAACGGTCGCTTTGTGTCAGGTAAAAGTACATGTTAAATGACTTAGTTTAACAAATTGTTTCTAAAACAAAACTCCTATAAATGCTTCACATATTTCATATTCACATATTGTATTAGAT